AAGCTAGAAACCTAAGATTCATCACTGACTCCTTCACCTTCATGCCCCCTCAAATCTAACTAGTCGTGAGTCCGGTGCAGTTCACCAGGGATTATCTCTTTGGTCTGTCTCTTCCTGTCCATCTCCACTGCTGCTTAAACTTTGGCCCCTGTCATCTAATTCCCCAAGACTCTTAACTGTCCTCCCAATTTTGATTCTAAAGCAAAGATCTTCCCAAAATGAAAACGTGACCCTGTCTCCCCTCTTGTTGAAAACTTGGTATCATCTCTTATCTATGACCCATGAGATCAAGCCCAGCTTTATCAAGGCTTTTAGCAGCTGGACCCCTACCTTGCCCTCTGGACTCAGGACCCACTGCCCCTCTAGCTGGCAGGCTTTCCTCGAGGTTGGCAAACTTTTTCTGCAAACGGCCTGGGAGTAAGTATATTAGGCCCATGGGCCACCAGTCTCATTTGTAACTGATCAGCTCTGCCCTGGTAGCGCTAGAGCAGCCACAGACAGAGTGTCAGTGAATGAGCATAGCCGTGTCCCAACAAACCTCTATTTATGGACACTGAAATTTGAATTTCATACAGTTTTCATGTGTCATGAAATATTACTCTTCTATTTTTTTCTTCAACCGTATAGAAATGTAAAACCCGTTCTTTGCTAGAGGGCGGCACCAAAACAGGTGCAGGGCTGGATTTGGGCTGCGACCCCTGCTTTAGACGCATGGCAAATTTAGGTTCCTCAGATTTAGCAGTTTCACATTTTCCTGCCTTTGGTCTACCTGGAACGCCTCTTCCTACTGTCAACTGGCATATTTTTGAGACCCACATTTAAGTCACTGCCCCCTTTTTTTTGGTTTTCCTTAAGTCCCTCCAGCAAAACTAATTGCCCTTTTATCTCCAGCCCTGGAACTCCTAATCAGGCCTCAATTATAGCTCTTATCATGCTGCACAGAGTTACGGATTTATGTCTGTGCCTCTCTTTAACCTGTTCTCCTTGAGAGCAGAGATGGGCCCAGTGGTGTTCATCTTTCTACGCTGTCACATAGTAATGTGACACTGAAAATGCTTATTAAATTGAACACAAGTGCCCACCTTCCAACAGCCTGTTCCGGCAGAGCTCAACTAGATCTCGGATCTTCCGATACCCTGTGGTATTAGTTAAAATTGTGTCTGGCCATGAACACCCCTAAATTCTGATTGGACTGAAATGAGAATGAGAATGGAATGTGCTATGTTGTAAGTTATCTTTTATTTTAAATTTACTTTTTGTTTCCCTGGGAAAAAATACCTATCAATACAATTAGGGATCGGTAATCATTAGCTCTGAAGTGCCATTAGTCACTTGAGACTCTAATGCCACAAAACTGAGCATGGGTGGAACTGATCCCGTGTTGGTGGTTCTTCCCCGGCCCTTCCAGGTCCATTCCTCAACTCCTCTGCCCTGCTCTTGGCCCCGGGACGCTGACCACTGTGGACTGCTAGAGAGCAAGAGAGCCCGGAGGCGATGCCAGCCAGCATCCCAGGGCACAGAGCAGGGCAGAGCAGGGCCTCCGTTCCCTTGCTCCCGGCTTCCTGTTGGGTTTGCAGATGGGAGGTGCAGCAGAGGGCGGGGAGGGAGGTGACAGGCTACCGATTCTGTGGCCCCCTCCTCCTGCACTGGCTACTGGTGCCTGTGGCCACCTCTTCCTACACTGGCTACAGATGCCCTGGCCCCCTCCTCCTGCACTGTGGGTTGGTAACAGCCTCTCAGGCCTGCCGAGAGGCCCCTCCTTCACGGCTCCAGCTCTTGCCACCCCCTTCCCTTGCCCCTTTATGTGCCTAGGGGTGGTAGAGGCCATCCCGCTGTTTAGTCCTGGGGACCTCACCATTCCTGTTGCAGTATACCTTCTGCCTCCTCCGGGACCCCTGACTGAAATCTATCTCTGCCACTGTTTTGGACTGTATTTGCAACAGCAAAACCTAGATTGGTCTTTAGTCGTTCCAAAGTTGTCATTCCTTTAGAGTAGTGGTTCTCACCCAGGGGTGCTTTTGCACATGAGGAACATTTGGTAATGTCTGCAGACTTTTTTGGTTGTCATGACTGTGTGTGTGTAGCGGGGGAGTGCTACTGGCTACTGGTCCCTGTATTCCCCTCCTCCTGTACTGCATCTAGCAGTGGGTAGAGGACAAGGACACTGCTGTAACCATTCTACAATGCACGGAACAGTCCCCCACGACAGAATTATACAGATTGACTATTATGCCGATAGTGCTGGGGTTGAGAAAATTTGTTTGTAGAGTCACCAATTGAGTTACTAAATAATCATTGCATATCCTTGCACTATGCACTCTTGGACTGGAAAACTCTAGCAAAAGTAGGTCTCAGAGGAGAATCATTTACTAACACAATCACAGTAATTACACACGCCAGACCCAAATTAACACTGCTGGGGTTCAAATTCTGACTCCAACACACAGTGAATGAGACCTTGAGCCAGCTATGGACCCTTTCTGTGGCTGTCTTTCCTCATCTGTAAAATGGGACTAATAATAGAACCTATTTTATACAATTGCTGTTAGGATAGAATGAAGTAAAAAATGCCAAGTGCCTAAAACCTACAAAGCCCTCCTTAAACACTGACACACACTAATATGCAAAACTCCATCCTGGGAAGTGCTAAGGGGGCTGAGAGAGGAGGAGACAAGGTTTGTTTTCAAGACATTGGCCACTAAAACGGTGTTTCTCAGATTGTGCAATGTTCCCTGCTACACACTTGTGAAATTAATCTAGAGGTTGCAACTAGCATTAAAACATGGAAAAGAGGCCGAGAACGGTGGCTCACGCCTGTAATCCCAGCACTCTTAGAGGCCGAGGCGGGTGGATTGTTTGAGCTCAAGAGTTCAAGACCAGCCTGAGCAAGAGCGAGACACTGTCTCTACTGAAAATAGAAAGAAATGAGCTGGACAACTAAAAATATACATGGAAAATAGCCGGGCATGGTGGCGCATGCCTGTAGTCCCAGCTACTCAGGAGCCTGAGGCAGGAGGATCGCTTAAGCCCAGGAGTTTGAGGTTGCTGTGAGCTAGGCTGACGCCATAGCACTCTAGCCTGGGCAATAGAGTGAGACTCTGTCTCAAAAAAAAGAAAAAAAAAACATGGAAAAGAAATTTTCAGGGTAAATCACACTTAGTAAGGGTAAATACCACGTGGTGACATTTTCCTTTTAGTTCTGTAGATGTATGTGCCTACGGGGTTGTGATTAATGTTTTTTCTACGGCGGGGTGAGATTAACAAAACAAAGTTGAAAAGCTACTGGTTAAATAGGAAAGGGAAGACACCCAAAGCACCGTAAGAGGAGGCGCTGTGATTTTGCAGAACTCACAGAAGCCTGTGTATTAGTTTGAGCTTCACCACTCACAGGCTGTGTGATCTTGGGCTAGTTATACAACCTCTCTGAGCCTCAGCTTCCTCAGCTGAAAAAAATGGGAATAAAAACATATACATCACTGCATGGTGGAGAGGGAGGCCTGGTGCGCTGTAGGTGTGCAACCCACGTGTGACCTAGAGACTGCCCCGTTTCGGTTCTTGTTGCCCATGTCTGACATCAAACCTTAACCAATTACAATGACACACAGGCGCTCGGCAACTTAAAATATTAGAAACACTTAGCACTTATTTAACCAGATACAATTATAACTTCCGTCTCTGCTTTTCTATTCTGGAAAAAACAGTAGAAAGGTTCAGACAGCTGTCCCCCTCACACAGAGGCACAGCCTCAGCGGTGGAAAAATGTCTCCAGGAAAGCTGTCAGGGGGAGGCTTTGTTAAACTAGTCAGACCAAGTTGGTTTCTTGTTTATTTTTTAAATATTTCATACGTGTCCTGCTCCAGGGCTAAGTAAATGAGGCCATTCATAAAAGGTTCCAATTTTGAAGGTAATGCTTCTGCTTCCAGTTTCTAGCCAGAAAGCTTGGCCCCGGGGGCCTTGTGGAGAGGGCTGTGCTCTGCCCTGAGCCACTTCCAGGGTGGGCTAGCAGACACTTGGCCTCTGAGGCCCAGGGCTTCACATCGGGACTTATACTTAATAAGTGTGCAATGTAAGTTTGCTGTCAAATCTATTAAAACCAACACCCATTTGGGAGTGGTAATAGTTACAGACTTGATGAGCATATTATGAGGCCAAGCCTCGGTGTTTATCTCTATAAATTTTGAGTACTTCAAATAAACTCAGTGTTGAAAGGAATGTTCCATCCGCTGGAATTCTGATCTCCTCCGGCTGCAGAGAGTGCTCCCTTCTGGGTTGATCCATTCCTTTTTATAGGAGGCTCTTGGGGTTAGGAAATTCTTCATTACTGCAGCAGAAATCTGCTTACCTGCAATTTCCACCTGCCATTCCTGGTCTGATCTCTTGCCACTAGACAGCTCTTCGCACATGTGAGCATCAAAGCTACCATGCTCCCTAAAGTGATTTTGCCTGTGTTTGTAATGTACTTGTGTTCTAGATCAAATGAAAGACAGTGGCAATGTGGGCTGCTCTCCCGCCTTGCGCGGAGCCAGGCTAAAGGCTGGTGGTTGAGAGGGTGGGCTCTGTGCTCAAAAGACAGGGGTTCAGATGGCCTTGGGAAACTGGCGTAATTTCTCTGAGCCTCTGCTTCCCTGGGTATAAAATGGGGAGGTGACAGTGTTTTCCTCACAAGGTAATGATGAGGATTTAATGGAGCACTTGTCGATGGCTAGCACCGTGCCTGGCTCTCGGCGGGCACTCGGTGAGTATTAGCTATTAGGATTAGCCTGGCCTGAGAAGTGCAGCTCAGGCTACGCAACTCCAGAAATGTCACTCCCTGGGGCAGAAGACCACAGCGCGGATGCAGAGATGCACCATGGCAGGCTTCTGGTCTGCAGGTAGGAACAGACGCCAGAGGCAAGGAGGCCCTGAAGCCACACTGGACCCAGTCTGGGGATGGGACGAGTCCTCCAGGTGCCATTTCTGCCACCCACTGAGGAAGCACGACAGTCCCGGGTCCTGCCTACCTTGGTACTGGGCGCTGAAGCCGCGCTGCCGGTGGTTGCCGTCCGACGTGAAGTGCAGCCGCAGCCAGTTCTTGCTGCTGATGACGGGGGCTGGGAGGCTGGCTCCGGTGAACCTGTGGGGACAGGAAGCAGGTGGAGTCAGGGACCAGAGCTGGGCGGGACAGGGACGTGGGCATCCAGGAATTGCCCCACTCCCCTTTCACGGCAGGACCTCAGCCCCGGCCTGGAGCAGGAAGGGAGGGCTGTGTCGCCTCAGCCCATCCGGTAGCTTGGCCCGAGCAGCTTGAGATGGGTCCTCCAGGGCTTCATCCCACCGCCGGGTTCCCTGAGATGCTGAGACGGGGCTGACCCTTCAGGCCAGCAGTGCAGGGTAAGCGCCTCCGGCTTCCATCTCCTAAGCATTCCACCTTTTTTCTTTTGTCTAGACTTTGCCTTTTCTGCCTGGAATATACCCACCCTAGCCCTTTCTCCTGCACCACCCACGTCACCTGAGACGACGCTGGGAAGCCCCCTCAAATATCACGTCCCCAGGAAAGCCTTTCTTACTCTCCTTGGCTTTGAAGCCAACAGATCTGGGTTCAGATCCAGCCTTCACCAGTGTGACCTTGGACCCGTTACTTAACCTTTTTAAGACTGACAATAATACCAGCCCTAAGAGTTCGTGAGAGTAAATGAGAACCCTCACGGGCAAAGACCCTAGCTCAGTACTGGGTACATATCGGGCTCAATAAATAGAATTTTCATTTCCCTTTTCTGTGATGGCACGGCATTTTGTTAAAATGGTAATTCCTTTATCGAGGTGTGTGTCTCCCTAAGATAGCTCCTCAAAGGGGCCAATGTAGCCTAGAGGTGAAGAAGCTTGGGCTCTGGAGGGATCAGCTGTGTAATGTTAGGAAAATTTCCTAAGCCCTCAATGACCTTATCTATAAAATGGGGATAATTAGACCCTTCCTTCAAAGGATTGCAAGAATTAAATGAGGTAATACACAAAAAGACCTTAGCACGGTCCCGGGCCACAGCAAGCTCTCAGTAATGGCAACTGTTATTTTCTTCTTTATCTTGGTTCCCAGAACCTAACACAATACTTGGTACAAAGTAGGCCTGTCAGGGTTCCAGCAGAAAGCAGGTGGCACAATCATATGACAATAGTTCCAGGAATTCAATGAATGACTTTTTACAAAGGTGAGGGCGAACTATGGGAAGACCACCAGGGAAGGGTAGTGTTCTGGGGCTGGTAACTGGAGGACTTATTGTCACTCCCGACCCTGGAGCAGGGAGAAGAGGGAATAGTTATCTCTAAAGAGAGGGCTACCTGGAAAAAGCCACCCTACAGGACCCAGATCTTCAGCGGGGCTGTGGCCAGTTTGTGAAAATCCCACCAGGAGGGAGCAAGGAATGAATACCCATAACTCGCTCTCCTCCTTCCCCTCCACCAATCTCCTGTTGATGCTCCTGTTGATCTAGCCCAATTGGAAGCCAGAGGGCAAGGGAGCATAACGATGCAGCCCACAGGTAAGCCTCCCCAGGCATGGAGCAGGGAGGAGAGAGCAAGGGAGGGGAACTGCAGGGCAGACAGAAGCGCTCCCGCACAGTGGGTCTTCATAAATATGCATTAAACAAAAGAACTAACCAAGGAGCTTCACACGCTGCAAAACTGAATTCTTACTATAATGAAAATGCTGACACACACGAAAATTCAGGAATATAACCCATATTGCTACGGTAAGAACTATTATAGAAACCGATTACTGTATTTCACCAGATCCCATTTAAAATAGTTTATTACAGACTGAGTCATTTAAGTTTTCTAAGGAGTCACAAACGTAGTGTGGGTTTTTTTTCTCCAGGCCAAATTCAATTCTATCTCAATGACAAATCTTGGAGGCTATTTACATAAGGGACACTGAAATAAGGAGAATTTACCTGAATAATTCAGAACCAAAGCCTCCTTATTTCAAAATGGAATGAGGGGAGGGTGCTGAGGTCTCCAGAGCAGGATGAGATTAATGATCCCCGTTTATATCCAGCAGCAGGGAGACTTCCCCAGCAGAGATCAGGGTGGGACTGATTGCTTTAACCTCCGCTTGCATGGCCTGGAGAAGCCCTAGGGGACATCTCCCACCTCCCGTTTCTCCCACACCTTTACCCACTCCCAGAATCCTAGTAATTGTTAATGTCCAAGGCTGAAACGCTCTGGGCCCTATACTGCCCATGCATCTTTGCTCTGTTCTGCCCCTGCCTCCCTGGGCATAAATGTTGAGTATTTGAGAGTTTTCTTGGCACCTATCAAAGAATTGGGGGCTTCCATGGCAGGATCATCACACTGAACTCTGCCGCTCAAAACCCTCCATGAAAAGGGGCAAACTACCCGGACGTGCAGCACTGTGGACGGGTCTCCAGAGCACGATGCTGCGCCGTCGCAGGGCAGATACCGCGAGTATGCACTGCATGGTTCCACTCCTATGGGACCCCTGTGAGACTCTGGAAAAGGCTAATCTTTGGTGAGAGAAAGCAGATTAGTGGTTGCCGGAGCTGGGGGTGAGAGGCAAAGGTTGGAGACCGGCTGGCTGGGAAAGCACACAAGGGCACCCTCAGGGGCGATGGAAACCTTCTCTGGTTTGAATGAGGTGTTGATTAGATGGGATGAAAACATGTGTCAAAACTCCAAAGAACTGTACATTTCAAATGGGTAATTTTATTTTGTGTAAAGTATGTCATAATAGAGTTAATTAAAAACAAATCAAAACAACACAAACCTTGGCTCCAATCCTCAGAGTAAAAGACCTTACTGAGGCCGAGGAGGCTTGAACAAAGCGCGTGCGCCTTCACCTCGCCTGCCTCCTTCCCTCCTCGCTCTTTAATCCTCCTGCTCCAGCTACAACCAGCTCCCTGCTGTTCGAAACCGGCCAGGCCCGCTCCCACCTCTGGGCCTTTGCACTTGACATTCCCCCTGCCTGTTACGCTGGCTCTGCTCTCAGACCTCCACCTGGCTCAGCCTCTCACTGAGCCTTTGATCAAACGTCACCTTCTCAGGGAAGCCTTCTTGGTGTCACTCCTGCCTGCCTTTTCGCCCCGAGAGCACACACACACACATGCATACACATGCACTCACACACACACACTGTTCTCCAGCCAAACAGAAGACCTTGCGTGTACTGGAATGCACGCTGCTCTATTGTGGGTCTCTGCCTTTGCACTGGCTCTCTTTATGCCCTTTCCCATTGCACCACCTGGCTGCACAGAGAGGTTAAGGAACTTGCTCACAGTCACACAGCTATTCAGGGAGATTCAAACCCAGACCATCCCTTTCAGAGCCTATGTGCTCAGCCACTGCATTATACTAACATACGCACACAAGCATGCAGGCAGGCAGTGGAACAGTCTAGGCTGAGTTCTACTCTGTTCCTGTCCTGCCCCTCTCTCCTCCCCCCAGGATCCTCTTCAATTTTGCTCCCTCTTAGAATCATAATTAAAGGAGAGAAACACAAAGAGAGATTCTCCCCTTCAAACCTTTCTGTCCACATTAACTTCACTATGGGGGGCCCGGGGAATTCCAAGTTCGCCCAGGAAATTGCTATTGCAGTGCAACATAAAATGTATTTAAGCAATTACACTCAATTTTTTTTTTCTTTTTGGTAAATTGACTTCTGTTAAATGGGGCTTCGTTAATGGAATCTGGCTTGGGGAGAACAAAGTAAAAAAGTCACTCCCTTTAATGACGTAGTTGATTATAGAAAAAGTGGCTTTGAGTTCCTCTGCAGAAAGCTCTGAGCCCTTCTCATGGTGATAGGAGAGCTCGGAGCAGGCTTGGTGGACACTATTTCTTCTTAAGAAGCTTCTCATGCACTCGTGATGTTGGGGAGCTGGGTGACACCCCCCACAAGATGACAACAGTGACTGCAAGGAATTGCTGCCTAATTGTAAGCTGAGGGGGAGGAGTGTTAGGGATGTTGGTTTAAATCCCAATATTCTGAAAACTGACATCTTCAGGAGAACATTCATTCACGTCCTCACCAAGCACATACTGTGTACAAGGCACAGTGCTTGCCAATGGAGGCCACTCCCACTGTGGTTCCCTAGATATAGGATGTCCCTGCAAAGCCTGTAATCTCTAAGATTCAGCTGCAATGTCCCCTTCTCTGTGCAGCCTCCACTCCTTCTCCTTCAGTAGCATCTGGCTTCTGTGTTCCCAGGGCACCTCCTGTGGGCATTGTCTATTAACTACGGCCTGTGTGCAGCCACGGTCTGATTCAGGGTTGAAGCATTTCTGCATCCCAGTACCAAGCATGAGCCATCCCTCCAACCCCAAGGCTGGCTTAGGAGAATGTGAAATATAGGAGGTGTTCACCACTTTATCCTTACTCCCAAGCCCTCTTTTCTTCCCACCTGCTGTCTGTTTGCCTCCCAGAAGGATGGAGAGGACACCATGATGCAATCAGGGAAATCTTTCTGGAAGGTTTTGGGCAGTGGTGGCCAAATGGCTCCAAGGCCTTTGCTAGAGGCTGATTTCTGCTTCTCCCAAACTAAGCTACCTCTCATCCCTTATTGACTCAGCATTGACACCCAACCTCATCACAAATGCTTTCCATAATCAATTTTCCTTTAGCCAAATTCCTAAGACTCTTGCTGTGCCAGGATAAATCCTTTTCCCAGACAACCCCATGATGTTATACATTTTCTAGGAACTGGGTGAATGCTGGGGACCAATGCAAGTCGAGCCACTGATCTCCCAGTCTCCTGCCTTATCTTTGACAAGAGGCCCCCTGGGCTCCAAGGCTTGCCTTCCCAGCAGTGCCCGCCCACCCCAGTTGTGCAGGCAGCTCTGAGAGGCCGGAGCCAACTCCTGGCCACCTACTGTGTGTTTGGGGTTGGTTACTATGCTCTGAACAAACCGAAGCTCCCCAAAATCATGCCTGCTCCTTAGTGCACCTTCCTCTCTAATCCTCACCACCCGCCCAGGCAGCATCCTCAACCCCCCTCTCCTTTGCACCATGGCCAACTGGGGCCCCCTTGTGACCTCATCATTTTTCACCTGGACTACAGAGACAGCCTTCTGGTCTGCTCTCTGCCTCCACTCCAACCTCCACACTCTGTGGGGAGATTGGATCGAGTC